ATTTCATGCTGCTACTTGTAACTCAAAATAGCTTAAACTATTTCTTTATCTTTACATCTTTTCAGTGTCTTTAAAGAGTTCACCAACCTTTTTTTATGTTCCCAAGTACAAAGAGGAGCGGAGCATGAAACATGAATTTAGTGAAAACATATTTCTGGAGAGCTTTTGAGCAAACGAGCTTCGTTTAAGCAGGAGCTGTGATGTGCATTGCGTAGCTCAGCCCAAGAAAAAGTGGTTGTTGAGAGTACTTTGTGTTTTCTTGGCTGGCATTAGGTCTGTCTTAGTAGGACACCCAAGACTTCATAAATCAAGTATATTTAATGAGAAATGCTGTGTGTGCATGCATGTTGTGTCTAAAAATAGTGTTCTTTGAACAGGATTCAATTTTGACTTTGCCTGCTATGCTTTTAACATGAAGCAGAACCCCATGTGGAAAAACTAATGTCATTTTATTGGCCAGCTGAAATTCCTCCTGCTTGGCACTGCTTCTTTTCAACTCCTCACAACCAAGTATTTCTAGTTAGTCAGCAGCAGGATATGTAAATTCATCCTGGGCATTAGGAAATAAAGAACAGATGCTGTAGAAAATGTTTTTTTAATAGTGCATTTTTTCCTTTAAAGCTGCTTTTTTTCTTTTAAGTTGAACTCTGCTTTGTTTTTCCAACTTTACTAATTATTTCCACTTAGCTCTCTTTCATTCTAAGCTTAAAAGAAAAAAATGTGGAGTTTATTTTTTAAACCTGGTATTACCTGTCTTTGCTCCAATGGAATCCTTTTGTATTTCTAACAGAAGAATAGCAGAAGAATTTGGCACTGAATAAGATAGTGAAGTCATGATCTAGTAACACTTCTGTCAACTAAATGCAGTGAAGTCTCTTCTGCTAATGAAGAATGCCTACACACAGTTATGTAGACACTTCATTCTGAGCGGCTCAGACCAGTGATAAGTTTAAGGAAAGCGTGCACGTGTTTTCTTGTCTCTCTGCTGTGCTTGCTTAAAATTGGTCACCGTGAATCATGCTAACAGTAAAAGTGAGGTCAAAGTTTGAATTTACATATGTACATCTTTGTAGAGTGTATGAAGTGTATAATAAGTGCCAAACTGTTGTCTCTAGAAACTGAAATTCTTTTTCCACAGAACAGGAGCTACAAAAGTTAAAGCTCGTGCAAACTTTCTTATGCTGGGTAAGTGCTGAGATCTGCTGGCGTTTCTGACCGTCTGTTAACCATCGCACAAAGCTAAGCTCTCAGTGTGGACAGCTGCCCTTGAGGAAGTCTACTGGGTGCCACCCCCGTGTTGTGCTGAAGTCATCACAATAGTCAGTAGATGGTGACTTACTAAATATGCCTGAGATGAATTCTAGACTTACTCTGAATAATGGCAGTCTTGAGAATTAGGGATGAATTCAGAAGTGAAACATGTCTAACAAGGTCTAAATTTCCTGTTAACCAAACGTTCAGTTCTAAGCTGGTTTTCCTAAATCTGTCACCAGATATAATTTTTTGACTCCTCCGGTCTCAGACATTCAGCATAGGCAGACAGAGTGTTATCTATGTAGGCAACCAATACAAATAAATGGATTCTCCTTGTCCTCTCCCTTCAGTTTGTTCTGTTGATTGTTTGTGAGGACCAATTTCTCCACCTAAATTTTGGGTTTACTTACGGGGACAAAGCTGTTCTGAATGACAGAAGCAAACTGTAACGTGGGATCTGGAGATGAAGAAAGGAGGAGCATAATATTCTATAGCGAGCAGTTGTGGTGCCATCAGGAACTTGAATTCCAGTCTCTGATGGGTTTGTTCTGCAGATTGCTCACTTGTTTTCAGCAGCAGCAGTGCTAATAGTGGACATGTGCAAGGATGTCCGTAGTGCTATAGGCATGAGGGATCAAGTTCCCAGCAGGGTATACAGACCAAAAAAGAACCTAGCACTTCTGAAGGGATTGTCTCAGGTCTGGCTAAAATGGCACTGTCGTGTGATAAGCAGTGCTGTAGCTATTGTGAGGTAGTTATGTGAAAGCAAGGCCTTGTGCCAGTTTCAAATTAGCGAATAATGGAATTAGCCAGTCAAGCTTACTAATAGTGTGTGTACTATGTACTGTGCTGCTCTGCTTTCACTAAAGTTCACTACTTTGGCTGTGTTTGCCTGAGGCTTTCTGCCTTTGTCTGCCTTTCAGCTTGCACTGTGTTCACAGGAAGGTTTTGTATCACAGCTTTTTATCAGTATTCAAATTCATCATAAATCACCCACTTTGTGTTTAATTATCACTGTGTTTGAGATGTGGCTTACACGCCGTGGATGATGTTTGTTTCTGTGTAACTCACAAGTACCTTAAATTGAGGACGGCTCCCTGTCTAGCAGTGCCAGTGCAGCAGATCCTCAGTGAGTGAGACTTTGCCTGGATTTCAGCTTGTGTGGTGGTTGGGGTCCTGCAGCACACAGCCTTTGCTGCGAAACGTTGAAATTCACAAATGCATTTTGGCAGCTTTAGGAAGGGGAAATGAGTGCTGGATAAACTCCTCGAACCAAGCTGTGCCAAAAAAAAAAAAAGCCTTTTCTGTTTTTCTGAAGGGTGTAAATTCTTACAATAGGTGAAACGTTTTGCATGGTAAGACTGTTGCATACATTATGAAAAACAGGGTTAAACAAGGATGGCACATTCATGCATGCTGTTGTTTTATAAGGTAGCTGAACTTGTAGTTTGTTAATGAAACGGTGTTTGTCTCTTTGGGTGCTTTTTGGTGATGTATCCAAATAGATTGGTTATATGATAGAGGTAGAGTATACCTCAGGGAAATGAGAAATTTGCATGTAAGAAAACTTGCAGCAGCATCAGATTCTGTTTGGATTGCATTTTTGTTAATCAAAATATCAAAAGAAGTTTGGGGTTTTCTGATGAAATTTCAAGAGTGTGTTTGCATGCACTTACTAAATAAACTCACGGAGAGCTGTTAAGTGTGGAGATCCCATCTCTGGCTCCGAATTCCTAAGCTTTAAACAGCTGGATTCCCACAGCATTCCGGGCAAGCACACCCTGGGTATTTATTGTGTTCTTCTATTTATCCTTTTTGCCATCTGCTGCTGGTTACTGTTTAATACTAAGCAAGATGGACTTCTGGTTTGAGCTGTCCCTGTGTTCAGAGTATCCCTCCCTTTATGCTTAGATGTGTTTTTCCTATGTGGAGGAATACGAAGGCTGAATTAGCCACTCATATTTTCATCATCTGTCTCTCTTCAACTGTGGCTATGTAAGTAGATCCCTAATGACTGAAATATCAGGTAACAGAGAAAGGTAACTGCCTGATTTCCTGCAGTTGCACAGCTGGCTTTGCAAATCCCATCAACAGAATCTGGAGAAGATCATCTTTGGTACATCTTAATGAAAGTCATTACTTAAATATCATGGGCATTATGCTTTAAATCCTGTTAGTGTTCCCAGTTCTTCACATGTCTGTTTGGCACTATCCTACATAAATAAGAGATTTATCTTGGTTAGTTACGTATAGTCCCAACATCTTCTCTCTTTGTCGGTGGCAGATTTGACTAGGCTTGCCTAGAATTACTCCAAAATACCGGGTAGAACAGACCTGCCTTCTGTTTCCTAATTTTACAATGAATGTATCTCCATAATGAAAATCTGAATTTCTTATCAATTTTATAACGGGAAAATTTGGTGAAGAGCCTCCATTAATTCCAATGCTGTGTTCTTTTATTTTTGTGATTGTAACATGTCTGAGAAAAAGCCTGCTTTCCTCCCCACGTCACCAAAAAAGAAGGGGTTCTATTTTAATTCTTCAGTGTTTGGCATTCATTCAAGACGGAATGCTATTTCTGGTTAAATGCTTTTGTTAGCTTTAATGAAGTTAGACTACTGTTAACGTAAAATGATGATACCAGCCATGTGCTAAAGGCCACAGACATGGCTGTAATTGCATTGGGCAACAGCAGCTGCTGGCTGTAGGCCAAGCAAAAGCAGTAAGAATGATCAAGTTGTTATATGAAACGTGTGAAGAACTCGGTAGTTATTTAACAAGTCTCTTAATGACAGGCTCTCCTTACGTAACAAAAAGCTTAGTTAGCAGATCACTGTTTTTGTTGGAAGTGAGCGTGTTTATATTCATATGTTGTATCTAAAATCCTAAGAAAACAAGAAATGATGGGTACCATACTTGCCTTAACCTTTTCCAATTGAACCAGTTCTTAACCAAACTCATGCAAGTAGTTCTTAGGTGTTCCTGTTGGTGGTATTGCTTACTGTCCGTTCATGCTTTGCTTTTCAACGCGTCCTGGAACACAGAGAAGGTTTTTCCTGTTACTGAGTTCTGTCAATTAGATGTATGTTCATCTGTAGAATGGTACCTCAGCCTGAGATTAATGTAGCTGTTTGCAAGCTTCCATGTTACTAATCATTACCTCTGCTTTGCAGAACACCTCCAAGTCCTGTAGGTTTGCGAGCATAGAACTCCTGGATGTTTTTACCTTTCTGTTAACCTTTGCCAGTAAGCATGAATATTTTTTTGGTAGAATATTCTGTTTGCTCAAATTTGTTTTTTTACTGAAGAATTAAATTCCACAGTTCGGTTACTGTATTACGTGTTTGATTTTTGCAGGCTATAAAATTTCCCCTCTGTATTGTACAGTTCAACCTTTTTCAAAAGGCATTTAGTAAATTGCAGGTAGAACAGCTATTGTTCAACCTTTTCCATAACTTTCTGGTGGTTCATTAGTAAGTAGCAGAATCCTCTCAGGAAGGAATGGCCCTCAGAGCTCCACCTGACTGGCCAGCTGAGAAATCTGAAGCAAATGTCTAAGGAAGAGCTTGGGGATGTTGGGCAGTGTGTTATGCTGACAACCGGATTATCAAACTGGTCATCATTTCATCAGTTATTGGGTTTTGATGTTTTTTTTTTTTTTAATTATATTTTTCAATTGAGTCATTGGATCTTTGAACTTTATTTAAAAAAAAAAAAAGTATGAAATTCTGTTTTGTCTTCAACAGTGCCCTTAAAGACAGTCGTTTCCCCCCAATGACGAGGGATGAGCTGCCACGGCTTTTCTGCTCAGTGTCTCTACTCACTAACTTTGAAGATGTATGTGACTACATGGACTGGGAGGTAAGGATTGTGCATGTCCTGTAAGAAAATGTCTTTGATAACCGTGAGCGTCTGTAGCAGAACTCTTACTGTTCAAATCATCTGCATATATTCAGTGTAGTTGCTGTTTGGCGCTCTGTGCAGATTGTTTGGTGTAACGATTCAAGATGCCATTTTGGTAGAACTGCCATTGCCTTGAAAGCCAGAGCCGAGAAAATGGAATACAGTTGATTCCATTTGTCTTCCTTGGCTTTCAGAGCAAGTGGGCTGCAGGACAGCGCAAAGCCGTGATACAGTGAGGCCATGGAACTGACAGCTCTTGTCTTCCTGTTCTCCTTACCTAGAGCAGAGTCTGTTTTACTTGACCTGTTCTAGGAAACCTTTTGAGCAGCAGCATAAAAGCCACAGATTAGGAAGCTTTTAGAGTTATTTCTGGGAAGGTGTACTGGACGAAGTGCTATTCTGTATTCTTATGTTCTTTCACAGATTACTTGGTTTTAGATGCTTGAACAAAAGTAAATTACTGGAGTTAAGATCAACTTCTCATCTCAGCCAGGATGATTGTTTTAGTCTGTGTTTGAACAGATGGAAATTGTTTTGAAGTTGTTGTATATGCTACTGGATGTGTTACAGTGCCAGAGACACCCCACAGATTAAGAGTACTTTCATGTAACAGTGACTTCCCTACAACAGCAGCTTAGCCCTCCTAGATATTTAGGAATTCTTAATAGCAAAAGAGGCTTCCTGTTGGGCCCACAACATAACAAATGTGAATTGAATAGAAATGTCATTTGTTGTTGCAGTGGTAGGAGGCACCACAGAATGGTGGTCTTATGACTTAAGTCATAACATTCAAATTTGTTTGACATAATGGAGGATTTTACTTTCAGTGCCCTCTTTGTGCCTTGTGCAGAATCCTCAATTCCTTGTCAATACTGTAAACAAGCTTAATGCAGAAAAGTAATTCTGTGCAGTTGTGATTTACTTTCCAGAATCTCATGATTCTTCTCACTGGAGAGTTCTGGCTTATGGATGAAGAATGAAAGGGTCAAAAATACAATAGTTCTTGTATTATTCATTTGCTAACTTGTTCTCTCATATTTAAGGGTTTTAAAACCTTCAGTAAATTCCTGGGAATTCTCCCACACAAGCCCTCAGCTCCCACCCGAGGAATATTTGGGGCAATTTTAGAGGAATTTTGATCAGTGTTCTGGTTTAGAGCTTGTACAACTGAATATACAGACACTTAAAAGTCAGCTAAATGCATAGGTAGTTAATGTGATGTTGCTGTTGTAAGGCTAACTTCATTTTTCCAAGTCAGTTTGATTAATTACCTATAGTAGCATTCGTTTCCGTGTCACATAACTACTTTACCAGTGAGGTTTATTTGGCAAACTTGGTGATTTGTGCTTCATCGATAGGTCCCATTTAAGCTCAACAGGTTGTCTGTTTTCCTGTGTACAGTAATAAAAACAGCTTGTGTTGATGGGACATGTTTTGAGAAGACACCACCAAACTGGTGGACTTATGGATGAATTTTTCTTTTATATTTTCTTTTGTCCAGGAATGGGAGTAAGATCAACAAAGTGTTGTTTTCTGGTAGCTTGCAAATCAAACTGTCAGCATTCTCCTAGCATGGTGCCTAAAAATGACTTGGTGACTTTGCTGAGGATTGCCCATAGAAGCAGATTGGAAACTGGTATAAGCTTAATAGCTGACAGTGGCCCCATGGAAAGGCTTTGTGAAATTCCCTCCACGGTCTGCTTGTTAGTGCTTGCCTTTTAAATATGGCTGAAGTGCTCTTGGCTGTAAGTCTGACACGACTGAGCACCCATCTTCATCTGATGGCAATAATCACACGTAGTATAGATGAGTTGAGATTTCAGAAAGCTGAGCTGTGGAGGGTTGACACGATGCTTCTCGAAGGTTGCAGGCAGGTTGTATTTTACAGCAATGTGAAATGGTGTTCTTTTAATTTGATACCGACCTTTTCTGTTCTAAAAAAAAGCCTTTCAAAATTGGTAATTGATATGGGCAGAGATGTGCAAAGGAGTGTTATTAGAATGAGATCTTTGGGACTGAAGTGCTGAACTTCATTTGCAGTGTTCTTGCAGCTGCAGAAACATACTCTGTTCTCATCTTAGCAATAAACTAAGTGGATTTTAGTCTCTAACACCACTTCTTTTTACTTTCAGGCTCCTTAAGTTCATAATTACATCATCTGAGCATACAGATTTGAACTTTGTAGTGGTTATATGTCCATTTTATGAATGTTAAGTAATAAAATACATTAAAATTGGCAGCAAATTCAATATGTTAGCCTCTAATTAATTTTTCCTTTGTAAGGAGCGGTAGTTTCATGCAGAAAGCTTATGAAGGCCATGGCCAAGACTTCTCCCATTTTTCTGTACTTATGTCACATATAAAAGTCACGGACCTTAAAAAACAAAGTCTTAAAATAACCAAATATGTTAATTGAACAAGTGGTCACTAAGGGCTCTGTAGATGTCCCTCAGTTGTTTTTTCATTGTCATGTGGTTATGTTAAAAGCAGTTGTCACCAGAAAAATTGCCAGAGTTTCTTATTAAATTTTGAGTTGAAAAACAAATGCCATGAAAAATGCAGTGCGTGTGATAGCCTTTTAAATGTGAGCTCTTCATTTCCTCATGTAGAGTGGGGGACTTTGGATTTAAATAGAAATAACATCTCCGTATTTTATGCATGAAAACAAAAATATCAGTTATTAATGTTTTGAAATCCAAAGCAGCTTGTTGTCGTTGTACCTTGAAACTGGCAGATCTTCAATAATGCCCTGGAAGGGTATCTGGCCTCTTTTTTGGTAACTCCTCCATCAAATACTCCCACTGCCTTCAGATGAGTAGATTTGGTTTCAGTAATGGCAGTCTGCCATATTGCTCTAGTAGCATGGAAAGGGAAGCTGGAAGCTGAATGCTGTCCTCGTACATGAGCAGGAGTTTTGAGGGTTTCAGGATCCAATTGGCAGTGACTGGTGGCACAGCAATTTTGTCAGCAGCTGCTTTTGCACCTCAGCTGTTTTTTTTTTTTTTTTGCAGAAAGATGGCATTTGTTTTGAACATCTTCTGCAACTGTTTGCAAAATGGCGTCAACCATCGGAAGGTTCACATGTCGACCTTTATTATGTTAGAAATCTCTTGTATCTCTTTTTTTAATGTACTAATAAAACTGCCAATTTCTTGCAGGTGGGTGTACATGGCATTAGAATAGAATTCATCAATGAAAAAGGATCAAAACGCACCGCCACCTACTTACCGGAGGTTGCAAAGGAGCAAGGTCATTGTTGAGCTTTATTTCATATGATCTGGTGAAGAATTTAAACATACCTGTAAATCTAAAATGCAGTATTTGACCTTGCACTGATGTCAGATGATGGAGCAATATTTAATTGTAAGAAAAGACTCTTCTATAAAATGCCAATTACATGTCTGTCTCAACCCCCTTGTAGGGACTCAGTAAACTGTAGCTGTTCTGATGCAAATCCTAACCATAGTAAAGGTGTAAGAAAATAAATTGTGGAGGGGTGGTTCAGTGCTGCTACCTCACTTCAAAAAGCTGTTAATTTTCATGTAATTGTTACCCTGTGATGTTAGACATGCAAAAGCTCTGTTAATATACAGGCTGTCTGGACAATGATTTTAACAGCTAATTGATTCCCAGTTTTTCAATGGTGCTTCTTTTCATTAGGTATTTGCTTCTACTGTTTAATTCCTGCTATGAACAGTGACTTCTGGGTTTTGGGGTGTTGGGAAAGGATTATTTTCATACTAGAAGTCCAAAATAAGGTTACTAACGTGGCCCTTTCAATAGGACAGACTTCAGTTTGTGAATCAAGAAACTTACATATACAGTACCTTTTGTTGAACAGCTGTTTGTTGAGCCAAGCTGAAGATTTTCTCTTTGAGGCTTAAAAGTGTGTCTTAGCCTTTTGAATTTTGCATTGCCACTTCTTCATTTTCCTTCTGGTGCACTAAGTAATAGCAGTGAGACCTTCGTTAACAGATAATAGAAATTTGGTCTCCCAATGGTCACGTGAAAGCTTAGATGCCTTCCAAGGCAGTTCTTTCCCTTTTGCTATCAGGTTGGCCAGTTACCAAAGGGCTCTTTTGGTAAGACCTTTGGTGATCACTTATGCATGGGTTTTTTCAGTATTTTTTTAAATTCAGGAACTGGGGGAGGGGTTACGTTTCTTACTTGTGGTAAACTATGCATTACAGTCTGACTCTTAAAATCTACCAAAATTGGTTTTTTCTTTTTTTTCTGTTTTAAAAATGCAGTGTGACAAACTTAATTGCATCTTTGGGAAGTAAGATGTCTATTTTAGAAATAGTGGGCTTTTTAAAATCGACGTGTAGGAGTTTTGAGTAGCATGACTTTATTGAGAACAGTAGTGAATCTGAATTTTTGTTGTCACTTTTTTAAACAAACCAGCCTGCTACATATCACAGATGTTCTGAAATTTAAAATATCACTGTTAACTTTGCAGTGATATTTATGGAGAGCCCTAATGCCTGAAGTTCTCTCCACCCATTCAGTTAATAAATCTTTTGAATTTTCTTTCATACAGAAACGAAGCTTTCCATGCTGCCAGAGCCACTTAGGATGTATGATCAGATGTGATTAATGATCTGAACGACTCAGAAAATTGCAATTTTGTTTGTCATTGTCAGTCACCTGGATATGTGGGTGCAGTATTTCAACCACAAGATAAAAATGCATTGTTGGTAGAGCAAGCTTTATGCCTGATGAAATGCTGCTCAGCATCTTTCCCACAGCTATCTCCTGCATAGGAGAATGCCCCGTGTTTCATAGGTAACTTCAGGAGAGCAGCTGTGTTACCAGTGTCACTGCGTATCGTGCTGTGTTTTTGCAACACCTGTTCCTACTGCAGTAATGCTCATGAATTTTTACCGCTGTGAAATTCAACAGGATGGGACCACATTCAAACCATAGATTCCTTACTGAGGAAAGGAGGCTACAAAGCTCCGATTACTAATGAATTCAGGAAAACCATAAAGCTAACCAGGTATGCATCCCGGGGATACTCCAGATAAGCCCTGTTGGTTTGGTTTTAGTGTGATGAGTTCATTTCCTGGTAAGTGGTTGTTTCAGATGTTAACAGTAAGCTTTCCTGTATGTATTATTAATATTTTCTTTCTTTTCATAACAGGAATACAGACTTCTGAGAATATCTGTGCCTTGCATTAAATACAATAGAGATTACAGGCACTAAGCAAGGAAGAAAGGGCTGCTAAGTAGCTTGCTGCATATATACCAGGGAGTATATATATTTTGTTTCATAACTGAGAAATCCTTGCAGCGTATCAGCTCTGCAGTTTTACAGTTTGCTCATTGGCTGCAGCGGATCTCAAGGGGCTGTTATTAAGGGGGATTACTTGCCATTGTCACGTTGTGTTTGAGCAGTTGGTGCTCTGTGGGGCTGCTGCTCTGGAGGCCATGCAGTGCCCTGAGCTGTTCAGCTCTCCGAGCGGGCGCTGGGGCTTTTCCCTCCTGCAGAGTAGGGGCTTCATCTCCTAACAGGTGCTGGGCATGCAAACTGGGGAGCTGATCTGACAGGTGGTGCGCCAGCTTGACTGCATCAGGTACTCTAGGAAGGAAGACATAAGTGCAGTGCTTTACTTCATACTCAGACACTGTTGTATGTTGTGTGCCCGCTGTAATGCTTGTTTAATACAATGTGCTCGTGAGGGCTCATTAGCAGGTCAGAGCCAAAAGGTTAGAGAATGGGTTGCAAATGTTCCACCTATAAAATTGTAGTTGTATGGTGAAAGAGCAGGTGTCAATAGGAAGCCCTGTAAAACAACATTATTTTATAACCATGCAGTACAAAGTGACTGCTGAGCTCTTGCTGTTTATTCCATGCTTTGAGAACTAAGGATTTTATGAATCCTGTGTCATAAGGAGGCACTGACTGATAACCCATGAGGTTTCTTCTCCTCTCTTCGGGGATAACAAGCACTATTATTAATACAGCTCATAAATTTGGTAGTTAGAGACCTTTGTCCAACACCATTATTCTTCCTATCTTTTGTTGACTTGTAGGGACTCACAGAGAAACGAGATTCATTTTTAATATGTTGGTTGGGTATGTTAGCATCACTTCTGTGTACTTATTTCTTTGGGAATTCTTTCCTCCTTAGTGCAGCTGGATTGGGTGTGAGCTAGACTCGACTCCCTATTTCCATAATTAAAACCCAGTGCTTTCATTTCAGACACAAAAATACTGGGCTTCTCATTATTGTTAATGTACTCTTAGAAGACAAAGAGCTGAGTGTTTTTTTTCAGTTCCCACTTTTGTCACCTACATCTAAAATGCTTGCCATTACTTAGCAGTGTTTGTTTAGACTTGGCAGAAGACAGAGCATTTCTCAGAAAACTGTTTTCACTTTAGAAGAATCTCTCCCTCACTCAGTGTTGTTTTGGGTAAGGAAAAAGACTTTGTCCCACTGACTGAAATTCTGCTTTCTAGTAGGAACCTGATTCCAGGGGAATTGCTATTGCTGAGGAAAACATGCTATTCTGAGGGTTATGATTGGGAGGAAGGGTTTATGGAATCCAACTTAAATTTTCAAATGCAGCACCCCAATTTTCTTGCTGTCTTATTTTCAAGAATATATAGAATATATGGTGATAACTTAGGGCATGAGTAGCTGTTGGAGTTCTTAAGTGAGACTTTCTGTACACCTCAGTGAATAAGGGATGTATTTTTCCAAGACACAAAACTTCTGTATAGCACGCGCATTCTTCCAGCTCCGTGATTTTGTTGGAAGCAATGGCATACCAGTGCAGAACAAAACAAGTGTTCTGCTTAGTATATTTAGTTCAACATCCCAACCACAAAATCACAAGCCTAATGACTAGAATAGACAAAGTGTGTTGTTTAATATTATGATTTTTTCCATCTGTGATTCTACACAGGCTGCCCTTGGCCTGTTTTGACTCACTTAGAGCCACTGGTTGCCAAGCTTATAGTTTAGTTCCATAGTGGTGAGGGGATTAGTGCACAGATCAGCTTACTCATCAGGTGCAGGGAGCGCAGTGCTCCACTCCTATTGCTGAGAGAGGAGCTGCAGCACAGCTGCGACCAGCAGCCGTTTAAGTCAGTACATCATTAACCAGCGCCGCTGCCGCAAGTAATCGCGGGCACTGCGGTGCACTGAAGCAAGAAGCTGTAAGCATAAGGTGTTCTGCTCTGTTCCTCTGGCAGAGGCAGCAGAAACAATTGTGTTTGCCACCTCAGTTGCTGCAGTTGGTAACTCAACAGCAGTTTGAGTGTCTGTGATAGGCTGTGAGTACAAGCTGTTGAGGCATGCGTTGTGCTTTTTCAGAGCTAAGAGGGAAAAGAACAAACAGAGCAACTCCAGAAGAGAAATGTCATAAACAAGGGAGGTGGCAATATTTTAAACCACTGTAGCTGGATTCACCAACTCTCATCTGTAAGATCTCTTATGCAGGGGCTTATGAGGTGACATTTGTGGCAATATGGAATAGTGTTATTTTTGTGTAGATTTCACAGTTTTACAGATAAGTGTAAATGTGGCAATATGTTCCTTGTTGTCAAACAATATCAATGCAAATTTTATCTGAAGTACATTTTTGGGGGTAGGGGCTGTTCTACTTTAAGCTATATATAGGTTAAAAGGGAAATCACTTCACTTCATGTAGCTGGATTTATTTTAAAAGCAGAATGTGCTAGACATTACTTTTTAAAAACAGCTCTGGAATCAGTACTGCTTGCTTACAGGGCTTTTCTCCTAGGTTATTTGTAGAGAGTTGGCTGATAATTTGGGATGCTCAGTAAATCATCACAAGTTCAAATACCTTGAGTAAAGTAGTAGGCAGCGATTTTTTTAATAGTTTTTTTTAATTTAAAATATTTTTCGTAAGCACTTATGTTGTGACTTGTGTGATTCAAGAACAGCCCCCAAAAACATGGTAGTTCTCTCCATGCCCTTGTGCAACTAAAGTTTGTCTTATTCCTAAGACCAGAAGTACAGAGCTGTTCTCGTCATTAGACGTACACCTAGCACCATATTTTCAGTGCTGCTCATAGCTGCCCAATGAAAGTTCTTGAGTTTGCTCCTTTGCTCTTTTCTAGGTACCGTAGTGAGAAGATGACCATGAGCTACACAGAGTACCTTGCCCATCGTCAGCATCATCACTTCCCAAATGGCATTGGGCACCCCCTTCCACCATACAACCATTATTCCTGACACTGAGCCGCATGACCAGTCACTGGACCTCTCTGCAGACCTCTTCCCAGGAGACCCTGCCCCTTCTTGGTCTAGCTATCTCTATTACTGTACCATTTTATGATGATAGTTTCCGTTGCCATTTTGAGGCTTCTCCATAGTTGGTTAAGCTCATTGTGGCAACGGGAGGGAAAACTGCATTATTACAAAGATCCCATACTTTTTTATTGAATCACTGCAGATTTTTTTGCAGCATATATAGCCCTTGGGTTTTTTATGAAATGTTAAATTTCTACTTCATTAACATTGAATTATATCAGTCAAGACTTTCTGTGACTGTGGATGGAAGGAAGAGTTTAAGGATTACAGTTGGGGATTCTTTGCTCAGAAAAAAAAAAAAGGCATTCATGGCTTTTTCATTAATAGCTCTGTCAGGGAATGAAACATATCAGATTCAGGTATTATATTAGACAATGAATTGCATTTTCTTAACCTTCTTAATAGTAGTCTGTGGTACAATATTTCATAGACTTTCTTCTTCCCTTTGAGTTTTCCCATGAGCTCCTTTGCTCATCCGTTTAGGTCTCCTGCCGTGGTTGAGCAAGGAGCTCATTGAAAAAAAAGACAAAGGGAAGAAGAAACTCTGTGAAATGTGGAAAAAGGACCTGGCCACTTGGGAGGAATATAGGAATGCTGTCAGGACCTGCAGGGATGCAGCGAGGAAGGGTAAGGCCCACTTGGAATTAAATCTGGTGAGGGAGGTCAAGGACAGCAAGAAAGGTTGTGTTTTGTTTTTTTTTTTTTTGTTTTTTTTTTTCAATATGTCAGTAGCAAAAGAAAATGTGGGCCTGCTACTTAATAAGGTGGTTGCCCTGGTAACAGGGGATGTTGAGAAGGTGGCGATGCTGAACACCTTCTTTGCTTCGGTCTTCACTGATTAGACTGTCCCTATGGAACCTCAGACCAAGGAGGTAAGAGAGTCTGGAGAAAAGACTTTCCCTTGGTCAGGAGGATCTGGTCAGAGATCATGTAGGCAAACTTGACTCATACACATCCACTGATCCCGATGGGATGCACCCCCAAGTGCTGAGGAAGCTGGCAGAAGTGCTTGCCAAACCACTCTATTGTCTTGGAGAATGGGACAGGTGCCTGAAGACTGGAGGATAGCCAGTGTCACTCCAGCCTTCAAAAAGGACAAGGAGGAGCTGGAAAACCACAGGTCAGTTGGCATCACCTCTGTCCCTGGAAAGGAGATGGAACAGCTTGTTACGTCATCACCAAGCAACTGGAAGAAAAGGTGATTATCAGGAGCAGTCAGTGTGAATTCACCAAGAGGGAAATCATGCTTGACCACCTTGGTAGCCTTCTGTGATGTCATCACCAGCTGGGTGGATGAGGGGAGAGCAGTGGATATTGTATACCTTGACTTCAGCAAGGCTTTAGACAAGACTTGCAGCCATTCAGCAGGACATGTACAGGTTGGTGAGTTGGGCAGAGAAGAGCCTGATCAGCTTCAGCAAGAGCAAGTGTAGGGTCCTGTATCTGGGAAGGAATGACTGCACCCATCAGTTGAGGTTTAGGGGCCTGCCTGCTGGAAAGGTGTTCTGCAGAGAAGGAGCTGGGTGCTGGCCATGAAGTATGCCCTTGTGGCTGAGAAGGCCAGCTTTATCTTGGAGTGCATTAAAAAGAGCATGGCCAGCAGATCGAGGGAGGTGATCCCCCCTCTGCTCTGCCCTGGTGAGGCCACATCTGGAGCAGTGTGTCCAGTTCTGGGCTCCCAGTTCAAGAAAAACAGGTAACTTCTAGAGAGAGTCCAGAGAAGGGCCACAGAGATGAAGAGGGGCCTCGAGCATCTCCTGTACGAGGAAAGGCTGAGAGACCTGGGACTGTTCAGTCTGCAGAAGAGAAGGCTGAGAAGGGATCTCAGCAATGTTTATCAATATCTAAAGCGTAGGAGTAAAATGGATGAGGCCAGCCAGCTCTTTTCCAGTGGTGTGCAGCAACAGGAGGCAGTGGGCAAAAAAAACTGGAACACAGGAAGTTGCATAACATGAGGAAGAACTTCTTTACTGTGGGAATAATGGATCATTGGAACAAACTGCCCAGAAAGGTGGTGGAGTCTCAATTTCTGGAGATACTCAAGACCCACCTGGATGCCTTCCTGTGTGATCTGCTTTAGGGAATCTGCTTCAGCAGGAGATTGGACTCAGTGACGTTTCAGAGGCTCCTTCTAGTCCCTAGAGTTCTGTTTCTGTAACAGTGTCTCACCCCTGCAGTAAAGATTTCATGTAGCTATAGATGTAGGTTGCTCTGAAAGTAATGCTTCCTATTTATTTACATGGAAACTACAACAAAGAGCACAGTAACACTACTTGATGGAGAAAATTCTCAGCTGCAAAACACTAGTTTTCAACATAGTTATCGCCATTAGCAGAGACTGCCCCTCTGCTGCCATCTGTCACACAGCAACAAAATGTAATGGAATATTAGGGGAAGGTTCAACCTCTGCTGCCATCCTACCAACATCTGTCTAATTTCATGGGCCAACACCATAAAACAGGAGGCATTACTTTCAGAGTAGCCCTTGTATGTGACCTTCAGCTCGAGCACACAGCCACAATTTGAGGCTCGTATACAAAATGCTTTTCTGGTTATGAAGAAGCAATTAAACGTAATAAGAGGTGAGCATTGTGCTCAGAATCACGTGGTCTAATTGAAAGTGCATGACATAATCCAGTAGGATACCTTTATCTCCTGTTCTGCACTGGAAGCCGAGGGCAGCCCAGCCCTGTCAAGCCTACTCATCATAATGCATTTCTAATGAGACAATGCCTTTCTGATGAGCTCAAATTAGAAGTCGCATTTGTTTTTAGAAACAGATTGGTGAGTAGCAGATGTTATATTAGGAAGAAAACGGATTTAGATTTTAGTGCCTTTGACTATGACATGATTATACTTGCATATAAAATTCATAGAAAAAAATATAGCAAATGTGCCAGACATTCCAGTAATCAACGTTGAGTTCTTTGCTGCTCTGGCGTCAGGTTTTGGGGGATTTTCTAAAGTGAGATATTTTTCATTTTCTTTTTCTTATTTTAGAAAAGAAAAATCCCTATCTTCTTCTTGCTTGTGCTTTTGAATTTGCTGGGTTTTATCAGGTCATGGATAGTTGGGTAACTTGTTTAAAAAAAAAAAAAAATTGTGTTGTGAAAGAGCACAGGACAATTATGCCATAATTTGTACATCTTTTCATCTATTACAGGAATAGTACTTGAGAGCTGTGAGTACTTCGTAATAATTCTCATAATTCTCCACAAGGTAGGAGAAAGAAAACTGATGAGGACTTGTAACAACTGTAAAAATAGGATTTATTAAGTGGTGTATGTGGTGTATGTTGTGAGCCAAGTATATGCCAGGAGCTACCTCCTTGCTCACATGCCTGCAGAACTCCCACTAATACCCACTGCAGTTCAGTGCACGTTTTAGGGGACTCCACATCCCATCTACTATGGAAAAGACCTTCCTAGCATGGGCGAGCCAACTATGGTAAGCAGAAATTCCAGTTATTTTGAATAATGAATGTTTTAAAAAATACATATATCACTCAAATAGATAAATAGAGTTAAGTTGATAAAAGGAACAACAACAACAGAAGACTAAAAACGTTCCAGAAAACAGATACGGATAAATTATCCCTTAGGTGAGGATAGAATGCCACTTAATTTGTACAGAGGTTCTTGTAGAAGGTCTTTTGTATTCCTTCATCCACAGCACCCGATGTCCAAATATTTCCATTTTCAGTTGTGATGCCTTAATTTATAAGCAGAGGGCCTGAAATGTCAGGAGCCAAGAGGTGCCAGGCAGACGCTGCAAAAACTAATAGATGTTTATACAGAGGCTATTTTGGATGATACTGTTGTCTTGTTTCTACTTGGGGGAGCGGTTTCAAATGGATTTGTCTTCAAGTGGAAACTGTGAACCGGTGGCTACCTGAGAGGTGTTTTGGTTTTGTTTTTTTCCTTGCCCTTATAGGGAAACTGAGCACAAACCGAATCATTCTGCTGCAAAAAACAAACAAAACACAAAGTCATCCAACCCCATCCTTATCTGTCATCTCGTTACAGCGCGCTCACACCGCTGCGTGAGCTCATCCTTAGAAGTTTTTTAAAAAGATCTATTATATATAAAAATATATATGTATTGAAAGGTGCTAATCAACCTCAAGCAGGTCACGTGACTGGTCATGCGGATCTAAAATCATATCAGATTTTTTAAAAATCTTCGATATATGCAGATGTTATACAGAATTTCTTACCAGTGTAATAATAATATACTGATGAATAAACAATCCTGCGGGTTTTTAAGGACAAGGTCAGCAATACTCCCCACCATGGCCTGGGGGGGAAAAGGATAGTTTTGTCTCCTTTTTGTATACAGCATAATGCACAATGCATTTTTGTCTATCTCTTAGTAGCTGTTGCTTACAAATATGGTTAAAAGGGTGTTATACAAACTGTAAAGGTGTGCTTTTGACATGACTTAATGCCAGACCCTTCTGGACCAGAGTTTTGTATCACTAATTAAAAAGCTGTTACAAAGTCTGCGGTCAATCAGGTTGTATGGTATTTTTTTAGAAAAGATTGGAATAATCAGTTTATCTACAGTGTTTCTAAGGCACCTACCTCCTCAGCACGCAAGTGCTGAGAATACTGCGGATTGTTTCTGTGTAATTGTGGGGTTGTTTATACAAGATGTGCAGTTCACTGTGACATGCACTGGGACAGAATAGGTCTGTTTGCCTAAAGCGAATCGACAGTTGCTTTCACAAATGCCATTCTCTGAGCTATTACCCTTTCAGATATATTGCTGGATTTAGATCTATTAATATTATTTTTTAATTTGGGGGCACTTCATAAGAGGTGATGGTACAACCGAGTAGCTAATTCCGCTCTTTAAGTCGAATGCTGATTTTTGATAAGCACTAATCCATTTGCCTTATTCCTTGAAGTTTTTTTTTTTAATTATTCTTTTGCTAAACGTTTCTGAAGTCCTCCTTCTGAAAACTAAGTGAGACAGCAGAACCCCAGGCTGATGTGATGCTGTTGCTTAGCCGTGCCTCAAGTGGCCTTCCTTCCGCCTGGAGCGCTGCAGCACTGACCTGGCACCATCTCAGCCCCAACGCTGGTCACAGCAGGGGGAGGGGGCCTGAGAGTTCTGACCTCAGATACAATACTAAGAGAGTCAAATCCATTTGCACACCCTGGCGTTTGTATACGGACCTCTTTACTTGTCTTCAAATGTGCGGGTTTTTAAAACTGTCGTCTGGAGTAGGTTACATCTCTTGTGTGTGTTAGATCGAACCAAAGAAGCCTCCAGCCATGCCCAGATGCTGCTCCTAAAGCCTGCCTTCCAGTCCTTGCAAAAGCCCCGCAGGATTAAATGTGTTAATTTTTTTATTTTTGTACAGTTTCTAACTGATTTTTGCTAGTGATGTTAATTGAATTAAGTTTATTTGGGGAGTCTGAGTACCTCCTCCATTTAAATAAACTGGTGACTTTCCTTTTATGTTAAAAAAAAAGGGAAAAAAAAAAAAAAAAAAAAAAAAAGGAAACCCAAAGTGTGCCTCTAAGATTTAAAGGGTTTCTGGTTACATTTATTCTTAAGACCAGCAATGATTCTTTATATAGAAAGATATGTTTTCCTCGTTTTTTATTACTGTTAAATAAAAAATAAAAACCTCTTTCTTTGCTCTGGACCCAGTAATTGCGCTGGTACATAAACGCACTGAGAAAACAAACTTTTGTTTGAAACTTTTGTAACAACTTATGACTGTTTTTGTATATCAAAGTTGATTCTTTTCAAAATATTTGGATCTAGTTTCTAAGTTATTTTAGTGTTTTATATGTTACAAAAAGAAAAAACCTTTAAATTGCTCACCAGCATCTTGAGTTATCTAATGCAGTGGTGACACACAGTGGGCTTGGAGCTGCCTGGAGTAGCTGACAAGGCCTCTCTTTTTCTTCCTTTCTTAGTAACTTGATTGATTACAAATTATATCACAGATTACCTGAACCCCCTTCCTTTATAACTAGATCCTCCTTCCTTCCACATTTAATTGCTATTAGTGTGAAGAAACTGTTGAAATGGGCATTTTAATATAAGTATGGCTTAAAAAAGATAAAATGAGGAAAAAGAAAAAAAAATTATATAGAAGGTTATCTGTGGGTCTGTGAGATATGGCTGTGGAAAGATATTGTAGTAGTTTTAACACTATTGTTATTACCTTTTAAATCATTTACCCAATAAAACAAGGAAAAAGAATCACCATTTCTTTCTATGTTTCTCTGCTTAATTGTGTGGCTTTGTCAGTTGATTGCTTTTTTTTTTTTTTTTTTTTAATTTAAGCATTCACTATCAGTGTTTATTTTAACAGCTAATGCTGCAGTAGGAATGTTTTCCTGGGCTGAAGTCTGTCATTGGCTGTGCATGATGTGGGAGGCAGCTCACAGCCTGGCTCTGGAGGGAGATGCTGAGGGAGTTACAGCAGCAGGTCAGGTCTCGTATGATGTCCAGTAAATACAGATTTATGTACTGGATTGAGTTCCTTATTCTCTGAAAGGTGAAATCAATCTCAACTGTTTACAAACACGATGTTGTAACCAGTACAGTGCCTGCGCTGTACAGGAAAGGAGACAAGATCAATGCAGCAAAATGCATATCAGAGAGTGCCTTGATAGCACCTGGAA